ACAAAGAAACTGTAAGCATGGAAAGAGTGCTGGGATCTCAGACCAAAGAAGCTGAATGTGACTAAATCTGTCTTAAGGCCAAAGTCACTGAGCAACAATTACTCAGTTTGATTACCTTTGGTTACTAAAATCAAAGTTTACAGTAAGCACGTAAATCACTGCCCAAGTAGCAGATCTTGAAAGACTGGTGTCAGCTGAACACAGTGACAAGCTCCTAAAACTTTTCAGCTTCCTTGAGTGACTGGAAGTGCATTGGAGGGGAAACGCATCAGAGGTGGGTGACGCTTGTGGTTCCCAGCCTGGCCACAGCCGGTGCCAGCGCTGCCCTGCTCCACCTGCAGGCTGGGCAGGGCTGCTGGGGCTCAGGGCTCACACCGTGCCTCGTCCTGAGGGTTTGTACACCTGAGGAATGGGGAACCTTTGCTTCCAGGGAGCCGAGTTTCCCCTGCTCGTGTATGCCACAGCAGTGCTCCCGTGCCCTGGCGCTGCCTCTCAGCTGAGGCACAAAGCACTCGAGCTGCGGTAGCTTTACTGCAAGCACCTTCTCAGCCTTGTCTCGCGTGTCCTCTGTCATGGCTCCCTGTCACAGCAAAACAGCTTCGCAAGGCTTAGCCACACAAATGTCAGCTAGTCCATGTGTAAATACGGGGCTCAAACAGATGAGGTTGTGGAACAAACTGGTGCCAAGTCACAGATGGCTTTGCCGTGAACTTTCCAGTTCCTTGGTAGTGAGTTTATGGCACTGCTTCATGGAGTCTCTCCAGTCTATCCCCACCCTTGGAAGTGTTCAAGGCCAGGCTGGATGGGGCTTGGAGCAACCTGGTCTAGAGGAAGGTGTCCCTGCCCATGAGAGGGGGGTTGGAACAACATGGGATTTAAGGTCCCTTCCAACCCAAACCATTCTATGAACACCAGGAAAATGCTACAAGAAACATGTAAAGTGAAAAAAATAAAGAGACCCTACAAAGGAATATTTCTCTTCATTCTGACATTGACCATCTGCCTTGAGTTTTGTTTGCCATTGCAGAGGGACCTATTGGCAGAATTTTGGGTTTCTGCACCATGTTACACGAGTAGAGATAACTGGGTTTCCTGTGTGCAGTGGTGGGAGGGGATGGGACGGCACTCAGGCCACCTCAATTGCACGCAAACAAGTGCAAAACAAACTATTTTTCCTCCCTTCCCCTTTTTCATGTGCTTTGTTTGGCTACAAGGGACTTCATGCTGCTCAGAACAACACCCTGCTTAGTGCAGTATTTTTTTTTCTTTTTCTTCCTGCTACCCGAGAGTGTAACTGGTAATCCCTGTCCTCTTGCTGCACCTTGTGTCTATCTGGTGTCACAAAGTCAGCAGATTTTGCATTGCACCCAAGAAGGACGTCCTGTGCTGTCAGGATATTCTTCCCTTGCTGTTTTCAGGCCACAAATGCAATGAGCTCCCTCTTGAATTTTTTAAATTTTTTTGGATGAGCACTCCAGATGTATTGGGCCTGCAGATAGGATGCATGTCCATCAACACCTTTCCCCTCCTCAAAGAGCTCTTTAGGTAGAGCTATACAGGGCAGTTCTTGACACTGCTAGAGGAATAGACCAGTGATGAATTATTCCTTAAAAGGCCAAGCAACAGTGACATTTGTGTGTGACTCGTGTGGGACAGGGGACATGGAGAAGGTGTGAGGCTATTTTGTATGGTCACACTCCGTAATGGATCTGGCCTGCTGTTGCCTCTTCAGGCTCCTGAGAAGAAGAAGAAAGTTTCCTCTGAATGGGTGGGACTCAGCCAGTTTCGTTTCAGATGCTGAGGAAATCTTGGAGAGACCCAGATGGGATGGAGAGACTGAGTCAGATGAAAAACAGACAGCAAGCATTAAGTGTACTTTCCTAACAAAAGCCAAGAAGTGAGAGAGCAGGATATTTGCTTACAAGAGCAAATTACTGTAGCGTGACAGTAGAACATGTGAGCTCTGCCCCTCAGAAACAGAGACTTCAAGAAAAACCTAGAAAGGACTTTTTGTTATTTGGGGTTTTTTTGTTGTGTTTATTTTCTCCCCTCTACACGTCTGAGCTGTGGGAGGAAGGAAGTTGTGACAAGAACAGAGGAATTCCCAGACACGTGTTTGGGTTGGGTTGTGGTTGGCTGCCAGGTGCCCACCCTGCTGCACTCCCTCCCCCTCCTAAGCAGGGTGGGGAGAAAATACCACAAAAAAGCTTATGGGACAGGAAGATCACTCATCAGTTACTGTCATGGGCCAAAGATGGGAATTGGGGAAAATAAATTAAATTGATTTCCAATTAAAAATAGAGTAGAATTAAGAGATACAAAACCGAAACTAAAACCACCTTCTACCCACCCACCCCTTCTGCCTAGGCTCAGCTTCATGCTTGACTATCCTACCTCCTCTCTGTAGGTGTTGCAGGGGGATGGAGAAGGGGGGGGTATTATATCCTATTTTATATCCTATATTTAGGATATAAAATGTTTGTTTTCTCAGTTATTTCCTATCAATAAACTGTGCTCACCTGCACAGACAGGCCAGGCCTACCACGCTCTGCAGGGGCTGGTCGGTGCCCGTGCTTGGCGGGTGTCCCCGCGGAGCAGCACAGTGTGGATGGAAGGATGAGCATTGCTCTGAAGCAGGAGGGGTTAATCGAAACACTTTTACTGTAAGCCCATAGGAGCCCCCCTACCCCCCTGTACACTTATAGTTTACCGTAAGCTATATTTCGTAAGCTGCATTTTGTACAAGAAGACTTTATCCTGTGCTGAGGGTATCAGACCTTAAAGGAACCACAACAAACACTGGACAAAGAACGCCAGACCCATAAATCTCATTCAGAGGAGCCAAGGTGACATTTGAATGAGTAGGGTAGGCCTAAAGCCAAGGGTTTCTTTAAGGCTGAGTGATCAGAGCACAGGAATAATAGAAAGCACGAAAGGTCCCCGAGGTGAAGTGAGGATGAGGATTAAAAACCAGCCCCCAGGATGAAGGCAAACAGGAACTCCCACCAAAATATTCCTCAAAATGGAAACCACGCCTCAATCTCTGCCCTAACTTCACCTGTTATGAATATTGTAATCAAATGATGCAATAATATGAATATGTAAAATTATGTTGTAATCATGATCAAGACATTGTATAAATTACCTGTTCTTACTGAATCACTTTGGAGTTTTTACCTGGCCTGAACGGGTAAATCTCCCCGGCGTCGTCGATAATCAATAAATACCTTGCTGCTTATGGACTTAAAACTCTGTCTCTGAGCAGTTTTACTCACCTGCCCCTTTTTTCTGGGCATCAGCTCCACCCAGCAGTGCTGACACTCCATTCCATCAACACTACATTACACTCCATAGGGCCAGGATGCAGTATAAGGTGGTGCTTGAGAGGCAGCCAAACAAGCGCCCGTTCATCACCTCATGGCAACAGTCTGGGCGTGCCCCACTGGAGGGCAAGGGGCCAATGACCCCTGCCCACATCATCTTCCTCTCCATCACCTTCCTCACCCCTAGGGACATCCCGTTAACTTTGCTAAAGGCACAATTGGTCTTACAGTCAACTTGTACAATAAAGTTACATTGTACAACACTCTGGCTGGTTTCACAATCACTTTCTCACCCCTCTATGCTCCACTGATTATCTAAATCAAGAGTATCCCCCTTACAGGGGGTTGGCTCAGTTCATGATGCCTTGTCCCTGCTGTCTCTCCCTCCTCATGCTCTGCCCCTGCCCCAGCATAGGATCCCCCATGGCTGAAGTTCCTGCTGGGAGCCTGCGCCTGTGTGGGCTCTCCAGGGGCTGCAGCTTCCTCAGGGCATTCCACTGGTTCTGGCATGGGGTCCTCCGTGGGCTGCACCGTGGGCTGCAAGTGGATCTCTGCTCTGACACCCAGAGCACCTCCTCCCCCTCCTTCTTCCCTTGGTGCCTGCAGGCCTGTTGCTCTCGCATCTTCTCTCTCCTCCCTCCCAGCTGCATCTGTGCCACAGTGGGTCCATCTTGGAGCCATCTGGAGCTGGTCCTGCCCAACACGGGAGAAGCTTCTGCGCCACCAGTGCCCCCTCACTCCCCAAGCCTGGCCACGTTAACCCAACATGTGTGTGCATCCTGCCGAGAGAAAACACGTACCCTTCGCCCTGGGAGCTCCTGCAGCATTGCAGTGAGCTCAGCACTGGGCATCACAGCACTGCTGAGGCACAGAGGGGGCTGAGAGGTGTCCTTTGGGTCCCTGGGATGTCCTGTGGGTGCTGGTGATGGCAGTGGAGCAGCAGGGTGTCCCCAGGGAGCACAGCCTCGGTCCCTGGGGTCGCTGGGAGCAGCGAGCAGGCGAGCGGGCTCTGCCAAAGCTGTGCTGGTGCAGTGTCCTGTCCATCGGGGCAGCTGTGCGTGTGGCGGGCACGGCTCTGAGAAGGTTGCCAGGGTGGGTCGAGGGGATTTTGCCAGCCCTGTTCTGTGGGGTCTGTGCTGGGGAGCCAAAGTCTCAGGGCCCCTGTGGGGCCTTTGTGGCACTCGGGCCTTGGGCAGCAGAGCTGTGTTCAAGGGTGTCGGGGATGCTACTTGTGAACAGGATGGGTGAAAACCAGCCCCGTGTGTGCCTGCAATGGCCGTGCTGTCCATCCCTGCGCCTGCGAGCAGCTGGGGGGCAGCTGTTCCCACCACCGCTGATGTCTCGGGAACGAGCTCCTGAGTAAGCGGGGGTTTGGGTGCCCTGGGCAGCAGCGCTGGGCGCTGTGTGGTGTTCGTGACGGGGTTGGGCCCGGGAGCTGCCGCCCTGCAGGCCGAGCCTGAGCCTGAGCCTCAGCCTCCCCCTCAGCCTCAGCCTCCGCCTCAGCCTCCGCCTCAGCCTCCCCCTCAGCCTCTGCCTCAGCCTCCGCCTCAGCCTCCCCCTCAACCTCAGCCTCAGCCTCCCCCTCAGCCTCCGCCTCAGCCTCAGCCGGGCAGGCCGGGGGCGCTGAGGGGGCCGTGCGCGCCGCTGACGTCACGGCGCACGCGGTGGCGGCGCGCGATGGGGAGCCCGGCGGGCGCTCCCGCCAAGCGCGCGCGGAGCGAGGGGACCCCCGGCCCCGACCCCCGGGACCCCCGGGACACCGACCGCGGGGACACTGACCCCCGGGTCACCGACCGGGGGGACCCCCGTCTCTGGGACACCGAGCGGCTCTGCCAGCACCTCTCCCGCTGCGGCGTGGGCAACCCCAGCCTGCTGCGCCGCTTCCGAGGTACGGCCCGCCGGGGCAGGGGCCGGGCGGGGGCCGGGCCGGGGCGCTGACCCTTCTCTTGCCCTGCAGAGAGCGGAGTCACCGGGAGGATGCTGCTGGAGCTGCCGGCCTGCGCCCCCGAGGTCACCCGCGTCTGGTGAGAGCCGCCCGCGCGGGGTGGGGCGGTGGCACAGCCCGCGGCGAGGCCCTGCCGGGCCCGGGAGCCGCTGAGCGCGGGCCCTGCCCGAGGGGAGCGGCTGCGGCACAAACAGTGGCCGGCTGGGCCCGGGCCGCCCTCAGCCGGCTGTGCGGGCGGGGGCGGTTGGGGTTGGGGTTGGGGTTGGGGGTTAGGATTGGGGTTGGGGGTTGGGGTTAGGGTTGGGGTTAGGGTTAGTGGGGGCAGGGTGGTCAGCGGGGCTGATCCCAGACCCTCCGGAGCAGTTCCTGTTTCCTGCTGATCCCAGAATAGTCCCGGCCACGGCGGAGACTCTCACTGCCCAGTAAGCGTGGGAAAACTAAAGCCCTGATCTATTAAAAAAGCTTTAATAAAAATCCCCCCGCTAGCACAGTGACCTTTTGAGTGTTGCTGGGACCACCGATGTGAACTCCAGGGGTGTTGAGGAGAACTTTCTTCTCAGCCTGAAGTTGCTGCTGCTCCGAGCCCAGAAGGACAGCAGCAGCAATGTTTTCCAGAGCAGGAGTGTTTACCAGCAGTGTTTGCCGCTTAGGGGAGGCCGGATGTCACCCGTCTCCCTGGGACAAAAGCCGGCATTGACAGGTCGACCTTGCTGCAGGTGCTGGCACTTTGCCCTCTGTTGTGCCTCTGCAAAAGAGGTTTTGGTGTGTGTCCTGGCAGAACAGGGGCCTGCGTGCCGGTGGCTGAGGCCATGGGCACCGTGAGCCACCACAGCCCTGGGCTGTGCAGAGCAGGAGCCTGGCACAGTCTCACTGCCAGTTCGGGAGCCGTCACCTGCTGTGGGCACAGGGGCACTGGGTGCTGTCCTGTGGTGTGGAAAACATTGTTCGCAGCAGTGAGGGAGTGACTAGTCTCAAAACTTTGGTAATCTGTCTGGTGGTGAACATGCTTTCTTGCTCTTCTGGAACAGGAGAGGATATGGATGTGTCGGAAGGGCCCCTCTGCCCCTTCTCTGCCTCACTAGGGTCCTCTTGCTCCCGTCTCCAGGGATGTGAGTTTGTTTGCTCACCACGTGCTTCCTGGTGCTTTTTAATCTTGAATGTCTTTTCTTTACTGCTTTGCTAACCTTGTTTACGCTGTTTCCTCCAAATTTGTCTCAAGACCCACCAAAGAGCTCAGGCTCTTTGCTGATGTTGTGGTCGGTGGCCCTGAGGCAGATTGGGGTGTGTTATCTGGCTGGTGCACACAAGTGCAGAGCTGTGCTTTCTGCTGGGGGCTTGAAGACTTTGGTGTGCAGGTTGGCTCCTTGGCTGAAAACTCATCATTACTCACGCTGTGCTGGAGATGAGGGGCCCCGTCTCTGTTCTCTTGAGACATCTCCTGGTGTGGGAAGGGAAGGGCGGGGTGTCTGGGCGTGGATATCTATAGGGAAGGAAAAGCTGGTGTGATTCAAGGGGACAAGGCAGAAGGGCTGTGCTTTGGAGGAGGTAAGATGTGTAGGAGTCGTTAGGGTATTTCTAGTTTCTCTTTTTTTCGACGAAGGGTTCTAACTGCAACTGTTTGAAGTGTGCAGATAGGCATGGTGTGGTGTTGTGGAAAGCAGATGAAGGCTTTTATTTCTGAAGTAGCGGGTAATTGTCTGAATTGACAAGCACGTGTCTAATTTCTGTTTGGGACTTACCAGGAGGCTGGTTGCTTCCAGCACCTCCCTGGCTGGCTGAGCATCAGGTGCCCGTGCGGACACACCGGCCATGGGCAGTTCTGGGGGAGTCAGACCTGTGGGTCGCTCTGTTGGTGCTGAGTGTGGGCAGCAGGAGGGGGTAGCCAGGAGTCCCTCAGCGTGGGACACTGGCAGTGGGGGCACAGGGTGTGAAGAGCTCTCGGTGTAGAGAGTGGATGGTGCTGGGGTTATGGAATGATGTGCTTGTGGGTTTTCTTCTGTGAGATCTGACATCTTAGTTCTCTTATGCTGAAATTTTTGAGAAGTGGATGAGAAATTGCTCAAGCCGACTGATTTTCATAAACATATCAACTTGGCACTAAAGAATTATCCCTTTTGCTCTCCACTGCACACTGTGTCCTGCAGGAGCTTTGGTAATTTCTCTGTGACAGGCCAGCAATGAATGCATGTCTTTAGTTCCCTGTGTTCTTGGATGTTCCGTGGGAAGAGCTCAGGCCTGGAGGCAGCACCTTGGGTGCTCTCGAGTTCCTGGCAGTGGATGTTTGTGTGGCGTGCAGCGTGCTGAGTGTGGATGATGGATGGGGCTCTCAGGCTGACCTCTCTGGAAAAGTGAGATTCCTAGTGGGTGCAGGAGAGGGATTTTCTCGTCCTTGTCAGCCATGGCATGAGGAAGGAGGAAGGGTTTGGGCAAAGCAGGGAGGGGAGTGGATGAGGAAATGTGAGTTTTCACTATTTCTAGGCAGCCAGCAGTAGTGCTGCTTTGGCTGTTGGAAGAACTCTGCCTGCAGAGCCCTGGAACATCACAGTACTCACACAGGATCTGTGTGTCGGGGCCTGACTAGGCTGCAGGTGATATCCTTGCTGTTGTTTTCCATCTGAAGGAAGATGGGGAAGTCTCTGTGGTGCAACATCCAGGTGATTGTTCACACCAGGACCACACTGACAGTGAGCTTTGTCATTGTGAGGCTGAACCGAAACCGAGTTCATGTTCCTGGAGGCAGGGCAGGACAGTAAGACATGCACTGATGTGGGACATCAGGTGGGGACTTCCCAGCCTCCCTCATCAGGCCTTTTCCTTCTGCTGGTCTCTCAGCCCTTGCAGCTCTGACCCAAACTCTTTGTGGACAGTGTCTGTGGGGGTGGTTTTATATCAGCTGCAATGTCAGTAGTACAGAGTGTCTGTTCTCTCTTGTTCCTGGACTTGCAGTCAGTGGTAGGTTCTCAAGATGGTAGCTGCCCACGCACCTCTCTTATGTTCCTGGCTATTTTTCAGTTTTCTCCTTGCTCCTGAATTTTTGTGGCATGTGAAAGGTGACCAGGTGCTCCAAACCAAGAGGCTGTGCCCTGAGTGCAGCAGTGCAGTGCCTCACTTTGTGCCAGGTGCTGCTTTGCACTGCCTCACTGTCTCAAAACTGTCAGCAAGTCCTGCCTGTGTACTTTGTGTGGCTCAGAGTATCTTTTTGGGCCATTGTTACCTGTTTGGGCATTGTTACCACCATGTTTGCTGCTACTGCTGTACTTCTTGCAGCATTACAGCTCATTCAAAACCACTCTTGTGATGTTTGCTTTCCTGTCCTGAATTTGGGTGGGGTAGAGTTAGTTTTCTTCTCAGATCTGGTCCAGTGCTGTGTTTGGGATTTAGTGTGATAATCAGGTTGGTAACGCTCTGATGTTTGAGGTGGTGCTCAGTCAGTTGGTGCTTACTGCAAGTCAGGGACTTTTCAGTGTCCTGTGCTCTGCCACTGAAGGGGGAGCATGGCCAGGAGAGCCAACCCAAACTGGCCAGCGGGATGTTCTGTACCACAAAACCTCCTGCCCAGTGTAGAAACAGGGTGGTAATGGTGGGGTGTCCGAGAGCTGCTGGTCACTGCTGGGGTGTGGGCTGGGCATGGATCAGAGGGGTGGTGAGTGACTGATGGGCATCACTGGCAGCACTTCTCTTGGGTTTTGTTTCTCTCTCTCCCCTTCTCATTAATGTTAGTAGTAGCAGTAATATCAATGTATTTAGTTTATTTCAATTATTAAGCTGTTCTTTATGTCAACCCACGAGTTTTAGCTTTTCCTGATTCTCCTCCCCATCCCTCTGGGAGCAGCGAGCGGCTGCTTGGGACTGAGTTCCCGGCTGGGATTAAACCATGACAGTCTTCTTAGTGCCCAGCCTGGAGCACAGAGGGTTGAGATAACCGATCTGACCAGAGCATGTTAAAACAAAGTTGTTACAAGCATTCAGTATATTAGTTTAGTGAGTGCCCCTGGTGGTGCAGTGGCTAAACTGCAGTGCTGTCAACGCTCAGATCCGGGTTCAGTTCCCGGTTAGGACACTCCCCGGGCAGATGGAGCTCATTAGCCCTGTAAGGCAATCCGTCTATGTCCTGAGGACCTCGCTGCCACCGTCCAAGCTCACTTGGCCCCGGCAGATGAACCTCAGGATTAAAGGGTGGGCTCAGTTCCGCGCACACTGTGTCTCACCTAAAAAATCCAATGCGCAGGCTGGAAGGTGTAAAAACCTTCCCCGGTTCTTCGTTCGCGAAGAGACTGGCCATTATATTAGTTTAGTAGTTGCTGGTCACAGTGTTGATTTATTTGCTCTCAGAGTTGTGCTTGTTCTCTGACTCGTATCATGGAACACAGACTGGTGTGAGCACCACCAGTGGTTCTTTTCGTCTTGGAATCATAGAATTGTATGAGTTGGAAGGGACCTTAAAGATCATCTTGTTCCAACTTTCTGCCATGGGCAGGGACACCTTCCTCTAGCCCAGGTTGCTCCAGCCCCATCCAACCTGGCCTTGGACACTTCCAGGGATGGGGCAGCCACAGCTGCTCTGGGCAACCTGTGCCAGGGCCTGCCCACCCTCACAGGGGACAATTCCTTCCCAATATCCCATCTAACCCTGCCCTCTGACAGTTTAAAACCATTGCCCCCTGTCCTGGAACTATCTGCCCATATAGAAAGTCCCTTTCCCTCCTTTTTATAAGTCCCCTTAAGGTACTGGAAGGCCATAATGAGGTCTCCCTGTAGCCTTCCCTTCTCCAGGCTGAACAGCCCCAGCTCTCTCAGCCTGTGTCCATAGGAGAGGTGCTCCAGCTAAAGGCTTGTGACAGTCTGAGCAGCAGCTGCTGCCTGAGAGCTCCCTGTAGGGAAAGGGACACAAGTAGTTAAGACAAACAGTGCTCACCAACAAACATCATATGCCTTTAATATTTTATGGGTTGTGAATTATTAAATCATTTGGGTGAGAATATGTAGTGCATCAAGCAGTGTTTTTTGCTAATAGTTGACATTTTATAGTCTTGCTTTCTGTGAAAGCACTGAAAGACTGATGTCAAACCCATCTCAGGATGGTTAACCGCTGGAAAGAATGGACGAATTGTATTTCCTCATGATGGTGTTTGCTGTCATACTGAGTGAAACCATGTAGCTCAAGGGCCAGGCTTGCAGAAGAGTTACTAAAAGTAGGTGTGATAGCATATTAACTCTCCCTCCAAACTCATCCTGCCTGGGCTCTTAGACTGCTGTGGCTCCAGCAGAGTACCTGTGTGTTGTGAAGGAGACCTTTAGTAATTTATTAAAAATGACAGCAAAATGTCTTTGCAAAGTACAAGAATGAGTTCTCAACAAAATTAGAGGATGTTTTAAACTGCAGTGGTTTTGGTGTTGGAGTTGAAATTAATTTGTGTAAAATTCAAATTAGTTTGGCAGAATTAAACTTTTCATACAGAGCTGAAACTAACTGAAAGAAATTTTTATACAAATTGTTTACTGGGACTTTGAGTTTTAGTTTTTACTTCCTTACTTTTAGTTTAAGGAAGTTTTCAACCTTAAAAAATATCAGTTATTCAGGCACTACATGTTTTCATTTCCATAAATTTAAAGGACTTATCTTCAGATGTGACTTACACAATTTTTTTATCAGTTTTTTTAGGGAATTTCATAGTGGTTTTATTTCTCAGTTCTGTATAAGTGGGAGGAGCACTTACACGGCTTTACACACTTACACAGCAACGACTTCTGTAGCTATTTGTTCTCTTCCTTCCATACTTGACTTTAGAAGGATAAATGCTTTCAGTACTTTTCTGGAAAAGTTAGTCTTGAGCCCGTGGAAGAGTCAATGAATATCAGAGTAATATGAGCTTGCACAGGTAATTCCATATGTACTGCAAACTGTAAAGGGAAATGTGTTGCAAACTTTGTTCTCAGTGTCCTTTTTTCCCTTCTAGCTGCCCAGCTGAGCACCTGGAAGTGCTGGCCTGCCTGAAGCAGCTGCCTCAGCAGCACATGGACGTGATGAAGGTACCGTGCTGGGAGGACACCACGTCAGGTCCTACCTTCCCTCCCCTTGGCCAGGGGCTGCCAAGCTAGTGCCTTTACACAGCAGCAGACTCCAAGCCCTTGGTCGTGGTGGTCTGTGAAAAACCACATTAACCAGCAGAATTGTTAAGTCATCAGCTGGGAGCTTTATGTGGGCACCTGGAGGTTGTGAGGGATTGAGTGAGCAGAAGAGCTGTTTGACGTGTTGAGAAGCTCCGCTTTCACAGCCCTCTGTGTGGAGCCTCCCCTTGGTTTCTTTTATTAGTTTTGCCCCAGGCCTGGGTTGACAGACTCTTCCAGTGTTTGCCGTGTCCAGCTGTTTCTCCCAGTGGTGTGTGTTGGTTTAACTGGGGCCAGGGCTGCGCATTCCGTAGTAATCTGCACGTCTGCCAGAGCCCTCCCAGCTCAGTGACCAAGGGTAGGGAGCATAGGAAAACCTTATTTGCTGCAGTATTTTACCCAGATAGGTGTGTGATGGAATGGTTTTACCTGCTGGTTGAAGACAAGGATTAAATGTGTTTACCTTCTCTACTGAGTTACTGCAGTTACTGAGATGTCTCTTAAAATGTGTGCTTATGAGTACTTATTTCATATTTCAGTTATCTTGCATTTTGTTTTATGAGAAAGGTAACATCATCCTTTCCACTCAGCAAAATTTCATTTGATCTTAAAACTCATGAACAATGTCAAAGCCAAACACTTTTTGCTGGATATCTCGGTCATGCATTGCTTTGGGTGGAATAGCAGATAATAAAGACAGCAGTTTTCACAAGTGTTAAGGTTTGGCATTGCATAGGTGCAGATAACAGTTTTAGAGATTTTGACTTTAATTCCCTTGCTATGTGAAATAGGCAGCTTTATCTTTTTTAATGTCAAGCTTGAGTAGTTCTCTGAAATAAATATGTTGTGCAGAGGATGCCCTGTGCCTTGAAAAGGCCAGGTTGGATGGGGCTTGGAGCAACCTGGTCTAGTGGAAAGTGTCCCTGCCCACAGCAGGGAGTTGGAACAAGATAATCTTTAAGATCCCTTTCAACCCCAGCCATTCTATGATTCTGTGATAGATCTCGGTGTAGGGTTGGCAGTACATGGCAGTTCTACAGAAGATGAACAACCTCTCCCACCAAATAACCTGACCATTCTGGATATCCTTTACCTTGCTGCCTGTTTCTTTTCAAGGTGAAATGTTACATGTTAATTACACTATTTTTTGGCTTTTGTAGGTTTTTAACGATCCTATTCATGGGCACATTGAAATACATCCCCTGCTTGTCCGTATCATCGACACTCCTCAGTTCCAGCGCCTCCGGTACATCAAGCAGCTGGGTGGCACTTACTTTGTGTTTCCAGGAGCCTCTCACAACCGCTTTGAACACTCCATTGGGTAAGGATGTGGTTCTGGCACGTGCCTCTCTTGCATTTGGATTGCCCTGAGTTTGGCTCCCCTGCTGTGGAGAGCCAGCCAAGGGGCACTGGTGAAAACTGCTGTGGTGGCAGTTTTGGTCTCACGAATGTCTCTGGCTATCCCATGTGATTATGGGCTGTTCCCTGGAACTTCCTTTAATAAAGACAGATAAAGAAACCTACGAGATGGATCAGTGTTAGGTTTATCCCTATCCTTTTTTATCCTAAGAATAATGTTAATTTATGACTGTGAGTGCTTTATGTTACCCCAGTCAAAATTTTAAGTTTTAAAGCTTAAACTAGTAAGGGTCCTGGGGCTGCTCTCGCTTTATCATGCCCACCCAGACACATTTTCTCGAGGTTTAAATACATTGTAACATCTGAGGCTCCCACCCAAAGTCCTGCCCAACTCAGGACAAATTTTCCTCCTCCTCTTCCTCCATCCCGCTGTCTTTCCATGGAGCAAGGCTGCCATCTGGTGTCCTTAGTCCGGCAGGAGTTTAAGGAGTGGGCTGTGCCTTCCTCCCTGGGGGTCGTCACCGAGGTCTTCCTCGTGTCCTGTGGGCGACCCAGTCCACGTTGACAAATTCCCGACCACGTGTGATTAATTTCTGCTGACCTCTGGTCTTCTGTCTGGTTGGTTGAAGTCCTTACTAAGGCATTTCATTTATCATCGGTTAAAGATAATCTGAGACTCCTCTTTACTTAAACAATTCCTTATTGATTTTGCTTCTCTAGAAAAACAATTTCTTATTGAGTTTTCTGAAGTGTGGGGGCCTCCTAAACTATTTCCTCCAGGTGCAGATTCAGCTGTTTTCTAATTTTCTTGGGTTTTCATCTTCATTTCTCTGACACTAAACTAAACATAGATTAAAGCAAAACCAACTTAAAATTACAAAGTCCAAGGGAATACAAATTCCTTAGTTATTTAGCTCTTTACAAGGGCCAGGAGACCAAATGCTTTGGTGATTCTTGTGGACCTTTGCAATTGCCCTGACTGGAATTCAAGGATTCCTGTAAGTTGAGATCCACGCTGTCAGTGATGCACTGCTGTTCCCTTGCACAGCTGCTCCGGGGTTGTGTGTTATGAAATACTGTAGGATGCTGTTGTCTCTTGGGCCTGGTGTCCCATGCTTTTTTGCTTTCAGATGTGTTACTGATGCTTAAAACTCTACTACAGGGAATAATTTGTTTCTGTGATTCAGATCAGGGTTTGGATATTTGCTGTATGGTTCCTCTCATACAAGAGCTTAATTGAGCAAAATAGAATAGGGGAACCGCTCTTTTTCTGTTCAGCCTAAACCGCTGCTATATTCCCTTTTCTTTCTCCTGCATCAGGGTTGGTTACCTAGCAGGATGTCTGGTTCGTACGCTAAAGGACAGACAACCAGAACTGGATATAACCCAGCGAGACATCCTCTGTGTGGAAATTGCTGGGCTTTGCCACGATTTGGGTAAGGAACACCTGACACGGCTTGTTGCTCTTTGAAAGCTGACCAGGATGAAAAGCTGGCTGTGAGATCAGAACTGTGAGCTGTTTTGGGCTGTTCAGTGCATGGCCATATTCCAAGACAGGTTTTATCTGTTCTGTTTGGTCTGGAGTACTTCTGTGGAGACAATTCCACTAGCTAGTGTTTGTCTTGCTTCCAAATGGTGTTAGAGTTCTGCCCTCAGTGGCTGAAGTGTTCACTTCCTTCTGTGATTTACTCAGGTCTCTTAAAACCTCTCAGAATAAAAATTAGTGGCCTTTTCAAAAATCATTACAGTTATTTTTTAACTACCTGTTTTCTTCAGAGCTGACACACAGTTCTCAGTGTTGTGGGTGCAGTCACAGGCTGGAGGGAAGGGACCTGGACAGGCCAACAGGTTCAACAAGGCCAAGGGCAAGCTCCTGCTCCTGGACTGGGGCAATCCTAAGCACAAATACAGGATGGAGGAGAGTGGATTGAGAGCAGCCCTGAGGCGATGGACCTGGGGGGGTTGATGAATGAGAGGCTGGGCAGGACCACTGACACAGGCACTCAGAAACCCCCCTGTGTCCTGGGCTCATCCCACAGCGTGGGCAGCAGGACAAGGAAGAGGATTCTGCCCCTCTGCTCTGCTCAGGTGAGACCCCACCTACAGAGCTGCCTCCAGCTCTGGGTCCCCCAGCGTCACCAGGATGGGGAACTGCTGGAGTGAGTCCAGAGGAGGCCGTGGAGATGCTCCAAGGGCTGGAGCCCCTCTGCTCTGGAGACAGGCTGGGAATGCTGAGCCTGTTCACCTGGAGAAGAGAAGGCTCTGGAGAGGCCTTGGAGCACCTAAAAGGATGTCCAAGGGAGTTGGACAGGGACTTTGGACAAGGGTCTGGAGTGATAGGACAAGAGGAAAAGGCTTCACACTTCTGGAGGGCAGGGTTAGGTGTGATATTGGGAAGAAATTGTTCCCTGTGAGGGTGGTGAGGCCCTGGCACAGGTGAAGCTGTGACTGCACCCCCATCCCTGGAAGTGTTTGAGGCCAGGTTGGATGGGGGTTGGAGCAACAGGTCGAGTGGCAGTTATTCCTGCCCATGACAGGGGGTGAAACTAGATGATTTTTAAGGTCCCTTCAGTCTAGGTTTCTAGATCAAGTCAAATACAAGAGAATTCAGATCCTTCACTTGCTCAAAAAACTTTTTGTTCACAGCCATGTCTCAGAATAAACCTGTGTAATATATATTTTTAAGGTCATGGGCCATTTTCACACATGTTTGATGGAAGATTTATTCCAATGGCTCGTCCAGATTTGAAGTGGAAGGTAGGCTTTTCGCTTTTAAAGTAAAAATACAAACCTCAGAGTTTTGGAGGCAAAATAATTAATCTTTAAAGAGTGCCATGGCTTGTGAGACTGTGGTGATCACTTGGCTTTACTTTATTGCATCATTTTGTTGGCTTGATTGAAAACCAGTGTTGTCTCCCAATCTTGGGATGACTTCCTTGTTGTCTTCAGCTGTATGTCTGGGGAACATCAGCTCCCTCAGCACAGCCAGGTGGAACCTTACTGGCAATGCAGAAAAAGTGAGGACAGATATATCTGTCCATCTCTGCCCTAGAAGTGCTTTTGGACTGCTGTGTGCTTCTGTGAGATCCATGTGTGGATGCCTGCATTTCTCTCCTGCAGGTGTCACCTGGCTGACACAGAAATAAGTTGTCTCACTCTTGTCAGTGCTCACAGTGTGACTCTGAAGAGGCAGAATTTGTTAGGACTGCAGTGATCATTTCTAGCCAGCATTATGCCTTAAAATGCATATTGAGAGCTTTCTGTAGAATATATTTTACAGATGCAAAAGACCAACTGGCAGCCTCCTTTCTGGTTTAATATTTTAGCTCAAGACTATTCAACACAGTGCTTAGAATTCAAACTTCCAGAAATTTTGAGCAGAGTTCAAAACAGCAGAATTATTTTGTGTTTTATCATTTTAACTGCCTTACTGCTGTTTGTGAAAATCCAAAATTAACAGCTCTCTGTTGAGGAGTGTGTTTCTGGACTCTGTAGGCTGGGTGATTTCCTGTTTTGTTTAATGCAGGATAAGTAGAAAATCACCCAGGTGCTGCACTTTCACACCAGCCTGCCCATGTGCCCTGCCAGGCGGTGATGCTGCTTGGGACAAAGCTGTGACACTGCAGGAAAGATTCTTAAACCATGTAATACAACATTTGGATGGTTTTTTTCACAGCATGAAACTGCTTCTGTTAAAATGTTTGAGCACCTTATAGCTTCCAATAAACTAGAAGAAGTCATGAAGTCATATGGTCTTGTCCTGGAAGAAGATATGCTCTTTATCAAGGAACAAATAGGAGGACCTATAGATGAAACTGCTTGTGACAAATCGGTGAGTCAGTGTACTACTCCTGTGGATATCCCAATAAATGTCTTAATTTTGCTGAAAGTAGATAATTTTGGCTTCTGCTATGTGTTGTTTTTATCCCCATGAAATTCTGAGAATCCTGTCACAGCTGGTGCTAGAGGAGTGTGGTGTTTATTTCTTACAGTGCTGGCAGGAGGTAATGGCTTCACTGTATTGTGTCCTTACATCTCTTTGAGAATTCTTAACCAAAAGTCTTCAGATTAGAGGAGAGCTCTGGAAGGTTATTTGTATTTGGTGAACCTAACTGATGATTGGGATCCACTCAAGGGTATGGAAAGAGCTGGCAGAAGTGCTCACCGAGGCACTCTCCAACATTTGCCAGTAGTCCCAGGTAGTCCCAGTTGACTGGAAGCTGGCAAATGTGACCTCATCTACAAGAAGAAGGGTCAGAAGGATGATCCAGGGAGCTACAGGCCTGTCAGCCTGACCTTGGTGCTGGGGAAGGTCGTGGAGCAGACCATGTTGAGTGCCATCATGCAGCACATACAGGACAACAGGGACTCAGGCTTAGCCAGCCTGGGTTTAGGAGAGGCAGGTCCTGCTCTACTGAAGGGTAGGAAGGCTCTGCAGAGGGATCTGGACATGGTGAATTGATGAACCTCATACAATTGGCCTTGGCTCAACAAGCCAAGTGTTGGGTCCTGCACTTGGGTCACAGCAATCCCATGGAATGCTCCAGCCTTGGGGAAGTGGCTGGGCAGAAAATGACCTGAGGGTGCTGGTCCACGTGAGCCGTCAGTGTGCCCAGGTGGCCATGAAGTCCAGTGACAGCCTGGCTTGTATCAGCCACAGTGTGGCCAGCAGGACCAGGGGCAGTGACCATCCTCCTGTGCTGGGCACTGCTGAAGCCACAACTCAAATTCTGTGTTCAGTTCTGGGCCCTTCACTTCAAGAAAGGCATTGAGGGGCTGGAGTGTGTCCAGAGAAGGGCAGTGGAGCTGAGGAAGGATCTGAAGCACGAGTCTGATGAGGAGCCAGCTGAGGGAGCTGGGGGGGCTCAGCCTGGAGAAAAGGAGGCCCTCAAGCTCCCTCAGTCTGCATTACAAAAGTGAGCACTGGCAGAGACAAGGCAGTGAGCAATCAGAAGCATGGCCCGAGTGCCAGAGCCACATCACTTTGGTGACAGCAGCAAAATGCTTGGATTAATTGCAGTACATAGAGGCAGGGATAAGACTTGAAGAAATGAGTTGCCTGAAGAGACAAGGAAGAAAGAGATGGTGATTGTTAATCATTGCAACTCCATGAAAGACTTAAGTCCTCTCTCCTTGCTTTATACTTTACAGCTGTTGTCACCCCTTCAAGGACACTCATTCAGTTGCCACCAGAATTAAGAGCTGGTGGCAGCCGAAGTCAGTGGGAGATCTGTCAGGACAATCTGGTACTAATCAGAAATTGTATGTTGTCCCAAACAAGTAGCCCGCAAATGTTCACACTTGCCTGTTATTTTCTGCTGCAGGAGTGGGTAGTTCTGCCGTGTGTACTCCAGCAATCCAAAGGCAAACACAGAGAACTCGGCAGAATGAAATTCAGTCTGAGATCTTACAGGACGAGGATCAAAATCTGCAGCTTGATTTTTACCCCCTTGGGCTCATTTGCACACAAATCTTGCGGTCTCCCACAACCGCTGACCTCGTACCAGGTTCTTACCCCACGCCTGGTTTTCCTTGTTTGGATTCCACACCTGTTTTCCAGCAGGATACCAGGAAAAATGCATCTAAATAAGTGTTTTAAAACTCTGTTCTGTCAAGTTGCATAGTTGATTGCAGAAGACTGCAAGACAGTGACATGTTTGCAGGTCTAATTCCCTGAGGATTAAATGATTCCGGCCTTTTCCCCTCTTTGTTGCTATGTTGTGGTTTTTTTTTGACTTTTCAAAGCTGCAGACTTTGTTTTAATAGAATGGGCTATGAAATAATTGCATTCAAGAGTTTAATTCTTCCTCAGATCCTAAGACAGCTCCTAGTTCTGGATTTCTAATGCCTGACAGCTTCTGGGAGCTCTTTTCTTGTCTTTGTGTACTTTGCTACCCCAGTGTTGAGTGTTTATCTCAGGCAAAGCCAAACTGTATTCCCACTGTCTTACAAAAACTGTTTTGACGTTGTTTGCACACTTTAATTTCTTATTGTTTTTCTTCCTGGTTCCCCCTGTTAGTGGCCCTACCGTGGTCGAACAAAGGAGAAAAGTTTCCTCTATGAGATAGTAGCTAACAAAAAGAACGGCATTGACGTTGACAAGTGGGATTATTTTGCAAGGTAGGAATTTTACAGTTTTTATTATGAATTTCTGCTGTAAAAATGCTACACTGTGTACAAAGACGATCGTGTAGTTAAAGCTCTCTGTGGAATATTTTTAGGGATTGCCATCACCTGGGGATCCCGAATAATTTTGATTATAAGCGACTTCTTCTCTTAACTCGGGTCTGTGAAGTGAAAAACCAGAAGCACATCTGTACCAGGGACAAGGTAAGGGGGTGTGGGAGCCGAGGGATGCTGGGAAGCACTGAGGGGATGGGGGGGAGCTGCACCCAGGGGCTGAGGGGTCTGGGGGCTGCCCAGAGCTGCTGCAGCCCAAGAGAGGAAGAAGTTGCTGCTCTGAAAGCTTTTCCCAAAGTGGTGGTTGGAGGGAGGGAGGGACAGGGAAGCCACCTGTTCGTGGCAGGTCCTTTCAGGGGAGACTCTACAGACCTGTCAGCTCTGCATGATCATGCTCCAGGTCTCCTGAGCAAGAGGTGAGCGTGGCTTTGGTGAGGGGCTGCTGAAGGAGCAGCAGGTCCTGTTCTCTGCCTGGGCTCCCTGGGGTCGCTGCCAGCGCTCTGCTCTCCCCTGGGGGCCGGAGGTCTCCTTCAAAATCTGTAAATTGGGAATAAAAATCATCCTGCTCTATGCTGCAAATGGAAGGAGACAACTCACTTGATTGATTGATTGTTTCAGTTTTCCAAGTAAGACAGTGTCAAAAGTAAAAGCGGATTGGGTTTTTTTGATTCAGGAAGTTGGAAATTTGTATGAAATGTTCCACACCCGGAATTCCCTGCACCGGAGGGCATACCAGCACAAGACTGGCAACATCATTGAACTAATGCAAGTATATTTTCCTTTCTTTGCATTCCATTTAATTTTAAATTCTTGAAACAATCCACATCCATTTGGAATATTAAGATAATCAATAAGGTGTGACATAGAATAGAAGCAAATTCTTGTGGAAAGACTTAATGCTTAGGGTATCATAGGGTCTGTGATTAACAAAGCAAACAAAAACAAAGAGAGGAGGACAAAAACATTCTTCCACAGGAAATTAAATCAGAGGAAAATTACTAAAGCCCTGAAGAAGCACCAGACCAGGGTGTGATTAAGCCATTTTAACTGCTGACAGCTGAGGTCAAATCTTTATCTGCAAGTTAGAGACCAGTTAGCTTAAATTGGAGCAAGGTTACTAACAGAGTAAGGTAATAAGCAGGCTTATTATGTAGTTCAGCTGAGGCCTGACTTTGTGTTTATGTAATGCATGAATTGTTTGGGACCAACTCAGCTGGCTACCTGCTGTTGTACCTATCTTGTTGATGTCTATAGAATTTTCCCTGTAACATTATTTTTTTTACTTTTCTTGAAAATCGGATATTTTCATTAGGATCTTGTCTGCCAGCTTTAGAAGAAAGGAACATTAAAAGGTGAAAAACCATCCCTGGAGGTTTTTAAAAAGAGATTGGATGTGGCCCTTAGTGCCATGATATAGTAATTGGAGTTGGATCAGGGTTTGGACTTGATGATCTTGGAGGTCTTTTCCAACCCAATCTATTCTATGATTCTATGATTCTATGATTAAGAATTACACAGTACAGGAGTGACTGGGACTGTTTTCATTTTGTAGACTTCAGCTCCTGGTTTAAGGATCCTCTAAAACTCAGACAAAAAATGCTCAAGTTTGACAGTAACTAAATATGACAAGTAAAACATATTTTTTAGTTTAGAAATTTAGTCCTTGGCTTCCCATAATTATAACAGCCTTTCCAAAAGAATGTCCAAGCTGGAAATGACAGTGAAGCACAGGGAACTCTGGAAGAACTCGATCTTTAGAACACAATTTTTTCCCACCTGAAAACAGCCTGTTTGTGATGCTTTCCCTTTACAGTGCTTTGTATCCTCTCAGCTGGCTGGTGGAGCGAGGTGTCTGTACAGGGATGTGCCTGTGTGTGAGGCAGCCTCGCTGCAGCTGAGTGGCCATGTCGCTGTCCCGCAGGGTTCTGCAATCGGCTCAGCAGTGTTAAACTCAGTCTGAAGCAGAACAGAGTGAACTTGCTCATTCTTCTAAAGGTTATGGTCTGATCTGAACCTGTTCTCAGTAAATCTCTGTTGAAATGTGCGATGACAGCATGGAAACAGGAGATGTTGCAGTGTGAGCAGCATCTGCTGGGTGCTGGGGATGCGGTATTGTCTGGTTTTTGTTTATAACATACTAATTTGTTTCTCTTTTGACTCTTGAGCAATAAGGTGTTCCAGAACAGTGTTATCCTGAAGTCTTAATTTTGTCTCAAACTAGGATTACAGAAGCCTTTCAAAAAGCAGACAAATATTTTGAAATAAGAGGCTCTGGAGGAAAAGTGTATCGGATTTCTACAGCAATGGAGGACATGGAAGCCTACACTAAGCTAACTGGTATGAGATCTCAACATTCTTTTTTGTAAAGTAAAAGAACCTGAGAACCTGTTAAAATGCTGGTTTATAGCTTTTTTGCACAGAAGGTGGGGCAGGCATGGGCCATTCTCTGCCTGGGCTCTCAGATCTTGCTGGGAGAGCAAGACCTTCTGGTTTAAATTACTTCCATGTCGAGGGAGAAGCAGCAACTTCACATTCTGCATATGTTCAAACTCAGCAGTGTTGTCAGAAGGTCCTGCCTGGGCCCTGAGTGTGTTGCACTTGTCACAGGTGGGATATAAGTCAGGTCTGATACAACATCCAGGTCTGTCAGGCAGAGTAGTACTGGATGTGTGTTGTGGTGTGAAGCTGTTCCCAAGGGCTCCCCTGGGGTCTGATTTGATTTGCTTGAGACATTGCTGCCCTACCTGCCCCTCCTGGCCTGTGCTGTGAGGCCACCAGTGCTCCTCTGGTTGGTGTTGAGAGGTGTGGGGGAGGAGGCCAGTGTGGGCAGGCTGATCCTGCGGCCCCAGGGTGTGAGGATGGCTCAGGGCAGAGGATGCTGCAGGCCCTGCTCAGGAGTGCTCTGAGTGCTCCTGAGTAGTGGCAGCTCTTGTAGCACCTGTCAACTACAGCTCATGAGGACTCCCAAGGCAGCTTCCCAGAGGTTCCATCACCAAGCCTTGGCTGGCCAACAGAGAGACTCACAGCCTTCCATCTTGGGTCCGTGGACAAAGTGACAGAGCCTGAAGGCACTGTTGTGAAGGATCCTGTGTGTCTTAGCCTTTGTCATGCTAAAGGCCTTCTGCTGGCAGTTCTCCATCTGCCACAGCATCTGCAGCCTGACCGCAGCCCTGCTGCGTTTTACTGAGGTGAGGAGCTGCATGTCCCCTCTGTCACTGCACACCTCTGCTCAGGGCAGCAGAAGTGGCTGGCTTTAAGGGGCAGTAGCTGTTGGAGAGCGTGAATTGTAGTGCTGGGCTGGGGAAGGCTGGGCAGAAAGGAAGGAACTGAAATGAAGTTCTTCATGGGCTAGGATCTGTTCCTGTGGGCTGGCTGGTCTGTAAGATCAGCTGTGCTGGCAGGTCAGCACCAGGGTCCTACTGTAACTGCCTGCTTACCTGCAGTACCTGGTGAGGAGCACAGTTCAGGGCAAGGAGACCAGGACTATGCTCTGTCTGCCACAACAAGCAGCTGCTTGCAGGACTGTCCTGTTCAACCAGGAGGGTTGAACAGCAAGGAGAGTAATGTGAGGAATGTGCCAACACCAGATGTAACCGTGGATCATGGAGGACGAGTATGTTCTCCTCCTCTTAAACCAAGGCACTTCCTTTCCTGCTTTTAGTGGTTGCACCCTGGGGGCTCCTGAGAGGCTTGTTTCAGCAGTCCATGGTGAGTGATGCTCCTGTGAAACTGTCCACTTACCTTGTGGACCTTTGCAAATGATGAACCTGTATGAGGTTCTGCAGCAAAAAGCTCCTTAGCTTTCATCCAAGATGGGTGAAGAACCACTGTTGGTTTTGAATGCGTTGGCTCCTGATTTGGCAGTAGATCATAGCTGTAGTAAAGGCTGAGACAGCAAATTGTTCCTTGTCACTACTGCTTTTGCACAGCAGAGATGTTCATGGACCTCTTACTTCTCCTGCATTATCTGTGCTCTCTCTGAAGAGACCTTGTCTGTGGTTCCTCGTGGAGAAGTTCCTGACTTTGGTTGACCTGGCCCAGGAAAACAATCCTCACTTGAAGGTGTTTTGGTCCATGGCTCACAGGGTGCTTCTGCTGGGAGCTCTCTCGGCCGGCGTCAGCTCCAGGCGGGCGTTGCTGGGCTGTGCTTGCAGTGTGTGTCGAGGCCTGCCCTGGTGTTCCTGGCCAGGGAATGTGAACAGCCACGGAGAAGTGTGGTGGTTGTGACAAGCCAGCAGCATCCTGGCAGCAGCAGTCTCTGGGACAGCCAGAAATAACCTTCCTGCTGAGAAGCCACATCAAAAGAAACCTCTGTCTCAGTGCTAAGATTGATGACGGGAAACTCACTGTGCATGTCACTGTCATGTGGAGACATGAGGGGGGACTTTGATGCTGGCATCCAAAGTCTGAGAAACTCTGAAACTTTACTGGCAGGTCTTTATTTTTTTACAAGACAGAGTATCCGAGTCCTGACCCACTCAGTGCTCGGGTTTAGGATATTCTGCTGAACAAGACTGGCTCAATAGGAAGAGAAAGTAACTTCCAGTGAAATAACAAAATATATTGCAAGGATGAGAACTGAGCTAGTTTTTCCTCCAACAACCATTGAGAATCTGATGATAATTAAGATGATATTGTGACTTTTCATTGTCAGACTTAGTTCAGTCATTCCCTGAAAATACCTTTCCTGAACCAGCAGGAGCAGTTTTTCTTGTTGCCTTAACCTTTGTCCCTGCATGTGCATTTTGCTGTGACGCTGGATTGTAAAATACTTAACAAAAATCAATGCAACTTTGGCAGACAGTATCTACCTGGAAATTCTGCACTCGAGTCATCCCGAACTGGAGGAGGCACGAGAAATTTTGCGTAAAATAGAACGACGCGAGTTATACAAGTTTTTAGGAGAGACTCGACCTGAAACAAAGAAGGAAATTGTAAAGGTAATGTCCTTCAGTGGAAGGTTCTGAATTCTGTCCCTGTAAAAATTGCTGACCATCCATTTTTCTCTATCTCCATCACACTCTGCTCCTCTGCTTGGCCCAGGTGTCAGCAGGGAATATTCCTTTGTGTCAGAAACCAAACAAACCCCCCTTTGTGGGTTTCAGCTTTCGAGTAGATCACCATCCCCTCCAAAGTTTGCATAGGAACTCCCTGCTTCTGGTCTTTTTGTGGGTTTTTTTGTGTTGGGTTTTTGGGTTTTTTATAGTGATCAGTGACCTTACTGACCTTGTCTGTCTCTTGGGGGTTTTTTTGTATATTTCACTGTATAGATATAAAAGCTTTATTAGAGGGTGAGATCCTGCCACCCTTCTTAAAAAGAAAAAAAAAGTTCAGTAAAAACATTTAGTATTTAGTATTCAACTTTGGAGAACTTAGTTGCAAAAATTTTGTCTCGGTAAAACAGTTGGTTGAGGGCACTTATTTTCTGCCTTCACACTTCAGCATCCTGGACGTCTCACTCTTGCTCTCCCCCTGCCCCATCGTCAGGTGTTAAACTCTTCCTCCACAGGCTGGCAGAATTTGTGTCTTCTCAATTATATAAGCTTGGTTAGTTTCTAAAAACTGTTACAGAACTTGTGGCTAAGGCAAGTAGTTTGGAGGCAAGTTCTAAGGCAAGTTCCAGTGATTGGAACAACCAGAAAGCTGCAAGAACAATCTGTCAAGCTGTGAGGAATTAAAAGCTTTAGTTTAGTGACATCCTGTGTCGTGTGTTTTATTGCCTTCATCTAGACCTGAGAGTGCATAAACGTAATCTTCTGTTCATCTTTTGTTTCTTGCAGAGTAATGGCCTGGCAGAAGGTATTGCTAATTCTAAGCCAGAGAAGGATCCTCCAGACGTGGAGCTAAAGGCTGAGAACTTCATAGTTGATGTAAATACCTCTCAGAACGGGTTCAAGTCAAAACTTCTCAGTCACAGAGGGCCTTGTGTACCTTAGTGAAGACTGGAGACACATTGCAGGGCCTTTGTAGTGAAAGAACAACCCTCCAGGGTGCCTCGGAACTGCTGTCCTGGTGCAGCTTAAGGGTCTGAGTGCAACGAGCTTCCCTTGGGGAGGTTTGCTGTGGTGGGAAGGCCTGAGGCACAGGCAGTGGGCAGCCTCACCTCACTGGGCTGTCGTCTGGGGACTGCTCCCGGTGCCAAATTTGTTCTCCTGTGGCTGTCCTTGCTCTGAAAAGGAGCAGTGAGGAATCCTGAGGGGTTTGGTACGTGGGTGTCGATGGCAGCAGCCTGGGGACCACAGCTGTTGGCTACCAAGGCAGGTCACCTGGTGGCCCCAGTGGGAGGGAAACAGGCACAGTGGCTCAGGGCTTCTGGTGTTGCACCTGCAGGGCAGGCAGTCCTGGGGTTTGCTGCAGGAAGCACCTCGTGCCACAGCTCAGTCTGCAGTCAGCACTGGTGGGGAGGAGAGAGCCTGAGACACAGGAGAGCTGTGTAGTGAGCTGCAAGGATCACTAGCTTAATCCCTGTGCTTGGTTAATTCCGGGCAGGGCTGGCCGGTGTCTGTCCATGGAGTGCAGCACGAGTCACTTCTAAAGCTCCCTTGCATGGAAGGTTCACTTCCCTGGATATGGACCTTTAAAGTGTTTACCTGGGCTTTCCTTGTCCCACAGACTGAAGTTGTGAAGAAGTGGGCACCTCCCTGCTGACCACTGAACTATTGGTATACCAGGCAATGTAGATAATAATGTGTAAACCTCGTGTTTATAGCTGTAAGCTCTGCTGCTGCCTCTGGAGGTTGTGTGTTTTGGGGAGGCCCAGGCTGGCAAGGGACCAGTCCTGGTCCAGTGTTGGGAACTGGAGTGTTTCAGAGCGCAGCTGGGAGCTCTAAATGGGAATATTCACCTGGCAGCTTCAGAGCAAAGAGGTGGTGGAAGTAAAGCTACAAAATACAAATAAATATGAGATTGTTTTATTAAGTAATAATTTGTTAATTACTGTTCTATTTGATTGCTGTCATTTTCAGGAGTATATAGTGCAGCCTTTTGTATTTATTGCGAGAAAACTAAAGACAAACATTAACAAATGCTGTTTTCTTTGTTTTACACGCAAGGTTATCAACATGGATTATGGAATGAAAGAACAGAATCCCATTGATAACGTTCACTTCTATTGCAAGGCTGATCCTTCCAAGGCAGTCAACATCAGTAAAGAACAGGTAGTCTCTTATTTTCCTCAGCTGGTTCCTGAAAAGCATCGTCACGGATAGTGAGGGAAGTGATTTACAGTCCTGCGTGGTTGTTCTTGCATAGGTTGTGAAGAGGTGGTGGAATCCATGACCTTGCAGGTCTTCAGTGCGTGTTGTAGGATGACAGCCTTTGCACATGGACAGTATTTAACTGGAATAGACTGGGAGTTAGAAAAACACAATTGTTTTGGATGGAGCTCATGGACTATGGAGGGATGTTTCTTACTGCTTTCCTTTTGTATGCAGATAAAAAATTTGAAATTTTTTGGACTCTCGATTCCAAAAAATACTAAAGCTTATTTCTGTTTTATTCCAAAGGTTTCAAAGTTTTTACCCATAACATTTACGGAGCAGGTTATCCGGGTTTATTACAAAAGTCAGGATCCACATACTATTTCAGCTGCAAAACAGTACTTTATTCAGTGGTGTATGCAGAATGATTTCACCAAACCACAGGTAACAAATTCACTTGTTATTTTACTTGCTCTTCATCTTTGTCCATAAGCTTGCTTTTTCATTAATAGCTTTGACATTCAGGTCTTGCCTTTGTGGCACCGACCTAACTCCTGGTTTTATCAGGGCTCCCACCTGGAGGTTCTTTGGTTTCACTGAAGCAGTGCTAGAGACACCTACAAGTGTCATAGAATCTTGGAAGGGTTTGGGTTGGAGGGAGACCTTGAAGATCATCTGGTTCCAACCCCCGTACTGTGGGCAGGGACACCTTCAACTAGACCAGGTTGCTCAGAGCTCCTTCCAACCTGGCCTTGGCTGTGGAGTGTCCTCTGGGGAAAGAGCTGCATCCTCTGACGTGAGACCCCCCCAGAGGATGAGTGTCCTTACGTGCTGGAGCCCCAGCTCCAGGCATCAGTAGCTCTGTTTAAGGCTCATTCTTGTCATTCTTCTGGCGTCTGTCTTTTCAGAGCAGCTAATTTCAGGAGGGCTTTTTACAAATGAATCAAGCAACAAACCTTTTGTCCTTGTAGAGTGTGGTTGTGTCCTGTAAGCAAATTCTTCAGTTCATCCATCCTGTAGGCCCTGGCGTGTTGCAGAGCACAGCAAAGGGCTTCTCACCAGCTTATTTCCGAGTTTGGAGAGCTGGTAGTTTGTGTTGGCAGTGCCTGAGCACAGATTAACATCTGTATCTGAGCAGGATGAGCCCTCCTGCCTCAGACCTGCTGTACCAGCCTTGCCTGCTTTAGCCAGTGCAGGGCAGATCCCAGCACCCAGGGCAGGCCGATGGCAGCACCCTAAATGAGGTGCTGTGGTGAAGTCAGAGGAGACACTTCAGTGATTCTGTTTGCTCAGGATACAGCCTGTTGGTCTGCCAGGTTTGCTGCTAATAATTTAGGAAGAGCTGGACTGCCAATGGTGATGGCTTCTGAGACAGGCACCAGAGGCCACCACTGACTACACCATTTTCTGTCTCTGGGATGCACAGCCAGCAGCATTTGTTGATTTACTGCTTATTTACCAATCTGCTGCTTCTGAGACCTTGTATTGATTTTTTTCTATTAGGCCTGAGCTGCTTTTTCTCTGCTTTAGAATGGAAAGCAAATATCATTAATGTTCCCTGACTTTTATTACTAGGATGGTGATGTTGTTGCCCCTCATCTGACTCCAATGAAGAGAACCTGGAATAATGTGAGAGAGGATGAAGACAGGAGAGCCTCAGAACCCAGCTGCAAACAAAGGCTTCCTTTTCATGAGTAACATGTTTCTTTTTGGCATTCTTCAGTCTGCTTCCTCAGAAGATGAGCAAACCTGAGCAGCAACTCTTCTAAAAGCCATTTGGATGGACTGGGAGGATTCATGGAACAATGCAGAAATGCATTTACAATACAGTGTGTTTTAATGTACATACTTAAACAAAGTGCATATTTTAAATAGACTTTTAAAAACCAACTTATTACAACAGAGTATACTCAGTTCTCATTTATTTTAGAATGTATTGGCACTGTGTAGCAAGAGTAACTTTAAAGATTGCAATTCATTGTTACCACAAGTTTTTACTGTTCCATCTAGTCCTGATCCCTTCTTTAGCTGACTGTGCTGTTGCACGAGCTAGCAGAAAAAATCCCAGCTCAGAGTTGATGTTTTTTTTTCAGGATTGGGGTTTTTCTGGAATCTGGGGAAGAGAGGGATAAGTAAGCATCTGAAAACATAGTGAGGTAAAGAAGAAATAACTGAGGATGGCATATTCAAGAATAGCAAAACAAATTTCCTTTTAAAAAAAAAATACGGGAGAGGAAATGTTTTTTGATAATCAGATATTATTTTTCTGGTGTTCAAAAAGCTGGTGGAGATGCAGGACTTTTGCTATAAGAATGACCACAGTTTTTACTGAAGTAACAATGCATTGCAGTGCCATGCAGCCTTTTACTATTTTATTGTGTATTTTTGATATACTGAATGTTATATTTTTACTGTCAGAACTGCAAAACCTGCTCAAAACCGTCCCCAGTGTGAGTGGTTGCAGGAGGGCTGAGCCGTCCAGCTGGGCATGAGTGGGCAGTGCCAGCCAGAGGCTCTGCCCGTCCTGCACCAAGGGACCTTCTTTGTGGATTACACTGTACTAGGCAGACAGGCCCTTCGGGAATCCCTCCATTCTTGGATCCCTGCCTTGTCCTCCTGATGGCTGTCCCTGTGTCATTTTTCTCTCCCTCACAGACCTGTGAGGGTTCTGACAGTTTTCCTGCACTGGCATCACTGGTGTGAATGTTGCTGAATGTCTATCCCGTTGAACAAGTGACCGAGGAAGACCTTTTTCCTCTCATCTTTTACTCAGGTCTAAAGGAAGGCTGCTTTCATTAAATGAAACCTAAAAGCTCGAAAATGTCTGCCCTCAGAACTAAGAACAGGAGGAAAGGTTCAGTAATGCTCAGAAATGAGAGAAAGCTGTGCAGTTGTTATCTGGAATGGGGAGAGAAATGTTGAGTGTTCAGTTTGGGCAGTCAGGGGTGGGTGGCCAGGGTAGGTTCTGAAAACTAACCCAGTGGGAAGGTGCTATGCCCTTTTAATTTGGGGAGCTGATGCTGTTAGGCAGAGGGAAGTAGAATCAGCATCCATGTGCTTACTCAGATTTTGCTTGTTGAAATAACCAGACGTTGTTGCATACTCTGCTGCTTTCTTATGTGCCTGTGCTCGTGTGTATGAAGGTGTAACCCCTGTTCCGTTCTCTAGCAGTATTTCAGATCTGCAGGTGAACCAGGTAACTGTTAGAAGGGCTTGTGGCCTCTTTAAAAGCTTTTGAAGAACTTTTCAGTCTTCAAGAAACAATATCGTAGAGTGAAGGCTTTTATGTCCCATGTCTGCATAAAATCGAATATTGTTCAGAATAATATAATTTTGTTATTGTTGCTTGGGTTTGTTTTGAATCTGTTTCAAAAGGTGCACTTTATACTCGGGGAAAGATCTTTTGTTTATGTTAAACCGAAAATTTATACTTAATGTCAAGTTCTGAGAGCTTTTCTTTTCCCATCATGTTCATCTGAGCCTCTCTGAAGAATACATTTATAAACGATGGTTTTACTATTCTTTTAAAGAGTTGCAGTGTGTGAACTTCATTAAAAATGGTCTTACTGTGCTGTTACAAAGAGGTGTTCCTGTGGAAGACCCTCCCTCTTGCAGAGGTGTGTTCTTGTTCCTGTGTCCTCGCAGGGCTGGAGGGGCTGTGCCAAGAGGAGGATCCTGTCCTGGTGCAGCCACGTGGCCATGCCCACAGCTGGGAGAGCAGGCCAGTCTGTGGCTCAGCATCCTTCCAGGGGCCAGGGAAGCTTTTCAGATGCTGCTGCAGCTGTTGTGTGGGAGAAGGTGAAGTCGTGCTTGAGCAGCCTGGTCACCTGTGCTGAAATGGCTGGGCTGGAGGCTGAGGGAGGGCAGTGGGTGCTGTCAGCCTCAGCAGGCTGCTGAAGGGGGATTTGGGTGAGGGAGGCGAACTCAAACCTGGCTGAAGGGCTGGGCTCAGTGGC